AAATAATGAAGAGTTTATGCAGAGGACCACTCAAAATATACCATCTGCCAAATATATACCACTTCGTTTCCTCTGCCACTTTATGGCTCTACACATTAAATCCAACATTAAGTCCTGAACTCCCTCAAAGCTACGGTGGTCTGTGGAGTTCAGAGTGAGTCAGATCAAAATATGCTTCTTTGGTATGTGGGCTGTTTTGAGCTAAGGGCGACATCAGCTGCAGGCTCAGGAGAAACTTCTGTCCCTCCCCTGACTACCTGGAAGAACTTGAACTAGGCGCCTTGCCCATAATGGGAGATTGTTAGACAGAACATCTTTGATCTGTTTGCATTTACTAAACATCATTTCACAGTGACCCTTTGAAGCCCCCAAGGCACTTACCTCATGCACTCTCTAGCTCAGGATGTCTTAAGCACCCATATTCCCTTTTGGCCTCTGAGCCTCTCATACATGTGGAGTTTCTGACTCTCTCATGTATGTGGGGTTCCCATACATATGTATGTGTTAAATTTGGTTATTTTCTCTTCCTAATCTTTCTCATTCTATTCTATTATTAGACCAGTCGAAAGAGCCCGGAGGGTAGAGAAAAGTTTCTCCTCCCCCATGGGTTCTACTTCTCTGGCTATGAAGCAGATATTTACTGACTGACTATCAGCCGTGGGCAAACTACGGCCCGCGGGCTGGATCCAGCCCGTTTGAAATGAATAAAACTAAAAAAAAAAAAAAGACCGCACCCTTTTATGTAATGATGTTTACTTTGAATTTATATTAGTTCACACAAACACTCCATCCATGCTTTTGTTCCGGCCCTCCGGTCCAGTTTAAGAACCCATTGTGGCCCTCGAGTCAAAAAGTTTGCCCACCCCTGGATGTTCTTGGTGGGGCTGGGTGTCAGCTTTGATCTTGATCTTAAGGCAGTGATAATATAACTGCAAAGTAAGATACACACAGGATTTTAATAAAAGGCAGTGTGGAAAAAATCCTCAGAGGAAGACAGTTTCAGAGCAGCACCGAGGATTGCTAAATTTACTCTTGGGTTGAGTCATTTGGAAAGTCTGTGGATGAGAAAGTGGTTAATGTGGGTCTTAAGAAATGGAGGGAAAATTCCCTGCACCTTTCTGAGGTTTTCATATGAATGCTAATAAAATGAAATGCATTTAATAGGTTAGAGGAGAGTCCAAACTAATAAAATCTCACAATGACTAAACTTTTATTCTTGAGTGATATTTCTTAGACTGGGTATTAAAATCATCTATTTTTATTCTCTGGGGACATGGCATTACGTTGAAGGTCTTCTCAGTTATTATTGAGGGAATGACACGCATCCTAGAATATGCCCAAATCTTAATTCCTGAATAAGCTAGATACTTTTCATCAAGTACCAAACAGCATACATGAAAGAATACTCATGGACAAGAGTTAAGATACTGTGTCATGCCTGCCATATGTGAATTGACTTGTCTGTGTTTCAGGTTCTTGTTCTGTGAATTAGGGACAAAAATATATACTTAGTGTGATTGTTGTGGGCTAATATATATATAAATGGCCCGGCACTAAAGAACATTGAAAGATGACCCCCAAACAATGAAATAAGTAGATGAATTACTGTTTGGGGATTATGCTTGACAATATCATGTTTATAATTTTAACTTACAAAGCTGTTAGTGTTGACTCTCTGAGGTGAGTAATATTGTATGTGTTTTCAGAGAAAAGGATGTTGCCCATCATAAAGAATTCATATGGGAATGTTCAAATGCTAAGTATATATACTGAGAGTTTATTCCAAACTAACTAACATCCGTGTTGAAGTTATTTCTGACCATGGCTTCATGATCCTTGCTACTTAAGGTGTAGTCTGGGGACCCACAGCATTAGCATTGTCTGGGTGCTTACAAGAAATACAGAATTTTGGGTCCCAACCCAGACTTCCAGAATTAGGATCTAAATTTTAGCAAGATTACCGGGTGTTACCTATGTATGTTAGAATTTGAGACTATTGCTCTAGATCAGTGGTTCTCAACCTTCCTAATGCCATGACCCTTTAATACAGTTCCTCATGTTGTGGTGACCCCCAACCATAAAATTGTTTTCGTTGCTACTTCGTAACTATAATTTTGCTACTGTTATGAATCGTCATGTAAATATCTGATATGCAAGATGTATTTTCATTGTCACAGATTGAACATCATTAAAGCATAGTTATTAATCACAAAAACAATATGTAATTATCTATGTGTTTTCCAATGGTCTTAGGTGACCCCTGTGAAAGGGTCGTTCGACCCCCAAAGGGGTCACGACCCACAGGTTGAGAACCGCTGCTCTAGATGTTAGCATAGGTTATTGAAAAGTTTGTATTGCTCCGAGCGTTTAAAGTAATGTTGTCTTTTAAATGTAGTTTCTGTCATTTATTAAGGCTGGTATTACAGGGAGTAAGAAGTCCTCCAGGTCTTTAGAGTACTAAGTTGGAAATTGCCTTTTCTGCTTCATCTTCTGGGGTTCAAAGAGCTGAAAATTGAGCAGTTTAACAGTTTACTGCTTAATTATCAAGATTTACTCTCTTTTCATTAACAGTAGTCAACCCAGATTCTTAAGATTCTGAATAAGAAAGATTGTAAGAGCATTTCCTGCCTTTATTAAAGTTGCTGGGCTTGGGGGACGTCTTATGAGTGTTTACTGAGTTGTTGGAACCATGATCCTTCTATTAAGGTTGATGCTGGTTCCTGCATTGGTGTCACCTGAGGAGCTTGTTAAAAGTTCAGATTCTCTGATTATGCCCAGGAGATTCTGATTCTGTAAAGCATCAGATGGGCCTTGGAATATGTATTACCAAGAAACTCCTTAAGTTGCAGCATTGCACATAGCCTGATTTGCAAATCGTTGCTGTAGTCCGTTTCTTTTTGTATTGGTGAGAAGACCTTTACCATCCCCTCATGTATTCACTTTTCATTCTTCATGTTGCATGTCTTGGTTTTCCATGTTACCAGTCATTTGATTTATTGTTGTATAAAGTTAAAAATGGAGGCAGCAGAGGGTAGAAAAATAGAACATTGATCTGGGAGGTAGAAGCCCTATATTCTTGACTTGATGTAGGCTCAGTGGGTAAGTCACAGTTTCTCCATTTTACTGTCTGTGAAATGGGCTTTATACTTCAGTGGAATGTGAGTGCTTTGAACTCTTCAAAAGAAAAGGTGTGTGAGTTGAGCGTGTTATTACCATCTTATTTTAATATCCTTCCTGTTAAAACCGTGTTTTCCTTTGCAATGTAAAACCTGGTTATTACTGAATTATTATCTCTGTAGTTGGTGTTCCTTTTGTGCTTTATACCCAACCCCCACCGTTCTCTGCATGCGACAGTTCTCCGGCTTCTGTCTCCTGGAAGGTTTTCCTGGGCCGGTTGGATCAAGAGCTCCTCTGTGGGGCTGATGAGAGCAGCTCTTGTTGAGACCTGTCAGGAGTGGGGGAGTTGTTCACTGGGACAGGAACTTGAAACTAGAAAACCTAGAAGGCCTAGACACCGTGTCTCAGTGTGATACCTTGAGCTGAATCCATTGTCTGGGCAAGGGCCCCAGGCCTAGCCTATTTAGGAGGAAGTACCAGTCGAATAATGGGTTAAGGGTTGGATGTGGTTATTTTTTATTATTTCGTAAAGGGATGGGATGGCTCAGGATCTTTGAAGGCACATCGTCCTGATTATTAGATATATTACTAGATATAAGGGCTCTAAACCACCCTAATGAACACACTCAGAAGACATCCCGGCCTCCCCAGACTTTAATAAAACAGGTAATGCCCTTTCTAGCTTCGTTATTTAGAATCTAAAGATTCTTGGTGTGACTACTATTAATGGAAAGAGAGGAAAGCTTGACAATTAAGAAGTAAATTGCTAAACTGTTCAGACTTTCAGGCCAAGGACTATGTGTCTTTTATTCACCAATACACACCCAGGACCTGGCAAAGTAATACTGTGATGATTAACTACAATTACATATATGAGTACATATTTTACAGTGGCTTTAAGTAATATTTTGTTACTTTAAGTTGGAAACTCCTAACCCATTATATCAATGGAGTGGCAGGTGTTTCACATGTTTTTAGAGAGCCACACGAGGCTTCCAGTTAAAGAAAATATGCCTAATTCCAAACCCTTGTGTACCTTTCTGGAATGCTTTTTAGAATGTTCTTTCTTGTTTATCAAACATTTGTCTTATTTTAACAGTTACTTTTTTTGTCTTTAACAGCAGGAGATGCTATAAAAGTTAACAAATAAGATCTTGTTCTAGGCCTTTTAAAAGAAGTCCCACACATAAATACAGAGTCACACATACCCTGTTCATGAATTTCTATGTATCATGCTTCTTGACACCTTATAGACACCCAATTTGTTTAGAAAAATCTTGAGTTTCTAATACATATTATTTACTAGATTATGTAGAACAGTCAACCATATTTCCTTGACTAAATCGGTTTGAATTTTATGATAGAAAAGAACATTATAGTTAGGTAGAATTTATTCCATATATAAAAGCTGTACAGAGCCCTTCAGCATCTGAAATGTGTGTATGTGTATAGCGAAAGAAAATCTCAATGTAGTTTAAATAAACAGAGTGAAAGACCATTGATTAAAACGGCTGTAAAAAATGTATGAATATCTGCTTAAATAATATAGAATCAATGGTCACTGAGCCACGGTGAAATGAACAGAGCAGGCCAATCAATAAGAAAGTAAGGCAACCAGCGTTACAGGTGAATTGACAGGAGTGTGTGTGTGCCCATAAATATGTGTGTCTGCCTACTATTGCTAATATGCCAACAGGGAATGCCGCATTCTGTAGGTAGAACTGAAAATGCCAGTTCCTTACCTTCCAATGTCTGGATGCTGAGAAGATTGTGTCGTTTTCTACCTCTTGCGTCACCTGAGATAAGATTCAGGTGTGTAAAGAGCGTTCTTTTAAGAGGCCCTTGGCGCGTTCCATTTCCCATGCCTGTTTTCTCCTCCCCAGGAGAGCGCACAGCTGCTACAAATGCCGCCAGTGCAGCTTCACCGCGGCCGACACGCAGTCACTACTGGACCACTTCAACACTGTTCACTGCCAGGAGCAGGACAGCACTACAGCCAACGGCGAGGACGACGGGCAGGCCGTCTCCACCATCAAGGAGGAGCCCAAGATTGACCTCAAGGTCTACAGTCTGCTCAGTCCAGACTCTAAGTTGGGAGAGCCCGTTCCCGAGAGTGTGGTGAAGAGGGAGAAGCTAGAAGACAAGGACGGGCTCAAAGAAAAAGTTTGGACCGAGAGCCCCAGTGATGACCTTCGCAACATGGCTTGGAGAGGGGCAGACATCCTCCGGGGCAGCCCGTCCTTCACTCAGACAAGCCTGGGGCTCCTGACACCGGTGTCCGGCCCCCAAGAGCAGACCAAGACTCTCAGGGACAGCCCCAACGTGGAAGCTGCCCACCTGGCCCGCCCTATGTATGGCTTGGCTGTGGAGACCAAGGCGTTCCTGCAGGGGGTGCCGGCAGGCGGAGAGAAGTCCGGGGCCATCGCCCAGCAGTACCCTCCATCTGCAGAAAGCAAGTCCAAGGATGAGTCCCAGTCCCTGTTACGGGTAGGAAGGTTTCATTTTTAAATAATTCCTATATCTTGAAGGGAAAAGGAGGGCGGGGGGGGGGGGGACACACATATCCTCTAGATCAGCGGTTCTCCACCTTCCTAATGCCGCGACCCTTTCATACAGTTCTTCGTGTTGTGGTGACCCCCAACCATAAAATCATTTTCGTTGCTACTTCATAACTGTAATTTTGCTACTGTTATGAATCGTCATGTAAATATCTGATATGCAGGATGTATTTTCATTGTCACAGATTGAACATCATTAAAGCATAGTGATTCATCACAAAAACAATATGTAATTATCTATGTGTTTTCCGATGGTCTTAGGCGACCCCTGTGAAAGGGTCGTTCGACCCCCAAAGGGGTCGCGACCCACAGGTTGAGAACCGCTGCTCTAGATTCTCAGGTCTCACCAAGGAAAGGCAGTGCTCTGTGTCAGTCGGGGGATTCATGCCTATCAGGACGGAGTGGCAGAAAGTAGCTCACCTGAGTGTGAGTCCTGTGCACATACTTGGCACAGTGGTGGGCAGTCGTTTGTCACCGCTCTGGGTCCAGAATGAATGTCGGTTCATCCTTCCTGGGGATTATGCGAAACAATGAGGCGGCATTCGGAGAAGGGCGGTTCACAATCCCAGAAGGATGCACACCTGTTACATTAAAATAGCGAAATGACTTTTACGTTCTAAGGTGGTGTGACGGCATGTGGTGAATAGAGAATGTAGCAGAGACTTAAATCACTGGGAATGCAATAGCCCTTGGTGAGACGTTAATACGGAAACGGGGTGTTTTTTAAAACTCACTATAATTATGTACTAGTGGCAATGCTCGTTGTTTAGTTGCCAAGAAGAGGGAAAGGGCGGGATAGATCTAAGTGTGAATGGCGTGAAGCACATTCAAAGAAGAGAACCGAGAACCGTGCATTTTATATTATCGGGCTTTTTAAGGGAGAAAGACATAGTCCCATGTGGAAAAGCAAAACAAAACCCCTGCATAGGATAAGATCCTTGATTGCCCTCTTCTAAAAATACTTTAGATTTTGAAAATTCATGAGTTCCCAATAAGTGATGCTTGCCTTTTGCCTAAGGTATCACCGCTTAGTCATTTCACCCTGACCCTGAGAAAATTTTGAGCTTCTGGATGATTTTGAAACTTGGTTCATGTGCCTAAGGTAGGATCAGAAAGCAGCTAGCCGTAATGAAAAAGCCAGTTAGGAAACGGAGCTCAGCTGGCCCGGTAGACCTGCAGGTTAGAGACCACTGGTTCTCTCTCCATGTATTCTGGGGAGAAAAATTGCTCTTTCCAGTGTCTGCGTGGCTACGCTGCTCTCATTCCCTGCCCATTCTCCGAAGCCTACCTGTGCTTCACAGGTGTTCTCGAGTGCAGTTGGGAAACACTCCTTCGAGGTGCACAGTTAATTATCAAAGCTGTTACTTTTCTTGTTTGCAGTCATGCCCTGGAGCTAAGAGAAGGGCTTGAATGCAGAAGGGGTGATGCCCCGTACACTGAGTAACAAAGAATCCTACAGGGGAAAAGCCAGTTTATTATAAGGAACTTTGAAAAGGAGGAAAATGGTTCCTATACCCATCTAGAGGGTGTGCAATCCAGGGGGCTTCTTTTAGATAAATACATAGGGAGCTGCATTTATATAAGTGTAAGTGCCGGTTACTTTCCAGCATGTCAGGACTTCTCTGGTCTCAAGTGCTCTTACAGTTTCTGGTTCTCGGGCAGGAACGATATGTCTGAGGTTTTTAAATGTCATACTGCACCTTGAGAGCATGGTGTGAATGGGCCTCAGCTCTCTAGCCCCAGCGCTCTCCTTCCTTGTTTCTTCCACTGAAAATGGTTTTCACCTGTGACAACTTCATTGCATACCTAATTGTTTGACTCTTTTAGACTGTGTCTGGAAGATTCTCTTTCCTGCCAACATTTGTATACATTAAGAATCTGTAATGAGGAATAATTAATTAAGCAGTGAAGTCTAAAACCTGAGCCTGATAGTTACATACTTTTTTAAAAAATATATTTTTATTGGTTTCAGAAAGGAAAGGAGAGGGAGAGAGAGAGAGATAGAAACATTAATGAGCAACACCGGCCAGGCAAACCCAGTTTTCACGAATTCACAAGATAAAGCTTATGTTAAGGTGCAATAATCAACACAGGTCACATATGCAATTTAAAAATTTTTATAGCAAGATCAATTCCATACTATTTACAAAGAAAAATTATAAAGACAGTTCACTAACTAAAAATATACATACATATTGGACACAAAACTAAAACTAGAAGTAGAAAAAAGCAACAGACTATTTTGAAATTTTAATTCTCGTCTGTGATTCTTATATTTCCTTCCTCACTTTGAGTAAAGCAAAATTTCATAACTGAAACCAGTTAAAAACATGTATTAGAAAGACCAATATTCTAAAAACAACAAAATTATGTGCTTTATAGCATGACCCTAACTCCATTCAGCCAACCCTTTAAAAATGTTTCCAATATTTACCAGTGTTGAAATATTTTACATTAATATTTTCTGCTAGATAAATTTTCCATATTCAAGTTTTTACTTTTAGTATTAGAAACTGTATGTACAAATGCATTTACAAATATATTTGTTCTAATAATGCTATATTGTGTGCACTATTTAGATAGAAAATCACTTTTAAAACCTATTTTCCATTTCTTAAATTGCTTTCTAAATACCATGCCAATCAGTGAGATAATATCAAGTTAAATTCTACCTTTTAAACTCAAAGATGAATAATACATTCTATCAGTCTATATTTACACAGACCGCTGTATTTTCATTCAAAATGTGCAGATTATTTTTGCATAGTTCAATTGTGCATTTATAAATTTTTATAGGGTACTCTCACTACTCACTGGACTTCTACAATTATAAAATTGAAAGACATCGTTTTTACTTTTAGTAAATAGGATGGTGATATTCTGCTGGGTTTTCCCCCACTGATGGCAGAGGAATGAGCGGAGAAGTTTGTATTTGCTGTGATAACTTATCAATGCCAATTTCTACCACCAAGAGTAAAAATCTTGTCAAATTCACAGTCAGAGTGGGCGCTGCTTAAATTCTCTCCAATGCCTTAAAGAGTTTATCAGTTAAGACATGTGTGCATTGAAGTTGTTAATTTGGTTAATACAGTAAATATTTCACAATATGTTAAATTAGCTATGCTTCCTATTCCAAATATCCAATAAAACTGGTGCTTTCCAAAAGCACTATTCAAAGACAAATAAAATGAAAATTTTAAAAATTCAAATTTGATTGAAATCACAGAAAAGTGATCCAACACTGTTTAAAATATGTATTGATCATATGTGTATTTAATTTCGTCAGCAGTCAGAATTTAGTGGATGGCAGCCTCTAAGGACCACACATCGTATGATAAGGAATTTGGTCACTCCCTGCAGAACATGGTTAAGTCTCTCGCTGAAGATTTGCTGCTCAGCAGCTAATGTGGAGGAACTGAAAAAAAAAAAAAAGTTGAAATGATGCAACACTAACTTGAAGTCAGGGAATTAAGGAAGTGGAGAAATTGAGAAAAACAATTTTTTAAAAAAGTGTTATCATCCTCAGCTTGCTTAAAGAATGTAACTATCGCCCAGCCCGGTGGCTCAGTGGTTGAGTGTCAACCTATGAACCAGGAGGTCATGGTTCGATTCCTGGTCAGGGCATATGCCTGGGTTGCAGACTCAATCCCTAGTAGGCAGTGTGCAGGAGGCAGCTGATCGGTGATGTTCCTCTCTCATCCATGTTCCTATTTCTCTATCCCTCTCCCTTCCTCTCTCTCTAAAATCAATAAAAATATATTACTAAAAAAAAAAAAAAAATTAGGTGTTTGTTGTGTATTAATCAGACAATATCTCTACAAAATCATGTGATTTTTTTTTTTTGTGAGTAGGAAAAAGTATTAAAGCCTCTAGATTTTTGCTAGAAATAGTCCATGTTTCAATGAAAACTTTAATTGGTACTCTTAAAACTTCTAGAAAATATCTTATAAAACATGAAAGCTCCTGGAAATGTTTTAAAAGTGCAGTATTTTCATTTAACTTATAATTTGTTTCTGTGAAGAAGTTAACATATTTAATATTGCCTGTGCTAAAAGCAAAAGTTAATTGGTTTTATATATTCAAATAGATGTTTCTTTCTCATTTTGAGCTAAACAGTGTAGTGTACTCAGAATTTAATATGGTTATGTGCCCTTTACTGACCAGTTTCTTCTATTTTGTGTATTTACACAAAGGTATTTATTTATTTAATTTATGTATTTATTTTGTTTAGTGGATCGACTCTTATTCACATACAACTGTGTTCATTTTATTATTTCCTGCATAAGAAATGCTAGGCTTTATTCTTGTAATTGACCTTTTAGATTGAATTTTATAAGATGGATAACTTTATCTTTTAACTGATAACCACACTAATAGGAACAAAACCTTGTGTTAAACAAAGATCCTTTTAGTATCAAATGCATTTTTTGTTTGTTAGTGAAACAAAAAGGTACTATTAAGATTAGTTGGTAAATATGTTGTTTCTGTGGTTCATGGCAAATCAACATTCAGCTAAACTTCTGCATGTCGTTTGTCAGACAGAATGTCAGAGATAATTCATAGACTCTGATTCTGCCAAGCACCATAGTTATTGGCCCACGTTCTTCATGTATGTAGGGGGGAGATAAGTCTCCGAACTGATTTCAGTTTCCCATGTGAATTTATTTAGGAAGGTTTGTCCGTTTTAAGATGCACGTTTTTCGCTGCTGGGTTCTGGCAGAGATGTTCAGCCAGGGGCTGTGGGCATTGAGTTCCAAGCTCGGGGATTTGAGTTCCAAGTTGAGTCTCTGACTGTAAAGGAAGGGCCTCCGAGAAGCCCCGTGCATCTCTCTGGGAGAGGATCGGGTGCCCGCGGTGCTCACCGGAGGGCTGTGCCGCTTCGTTAATTACCGTTTGTCAGGCCATTTGAGATCGGCAGATGCAGGGTTC